GGAAATATGTACTTGACATACTTGAGGAAGCAGGTTTGTTAGGTGGTAGACCGATTGATGTTCCTATAGATCCGAATAAGAAATTATTGATGGATGATGGTGCATTGTTTGAGAATCCGGGTCAATATCGTAGATTGGTTGGGAAGCTTAATTATCTCACTATTACTCAACCAGATATTTCCTATGCAGTCAGTATAGTAAGTCAGTTCATGAGTTACTCGTATTCTGTGATATCTCAAACGAGCTCTTGGACTTAGACTGTTATATCGAGCTAATGGACATCTTAGAGTGGAAGGTTTCTCAGATGCTAATTGGGCTGACTTTCCTTCTGATCGGATATCAACTACTGGTTATTGTACTTTCTTAGGAGGTAATGTTGTCTCGTGGAAAAGTAAGAAGTAACCCGTGGTAGCAAGATCCAGTGCTGAGGCTGAGTATAGGGCAATGACACATATGACGATTGAGTTGACTTGGCTAGTACACTTCTTCCAACAAATTGGGTTTCCAGTTCAACTTCCTTTACAGTTGTTTTGTAACAACTAGACAGCTATCCATATTATTGTCAATCTTGTGATTCACGAGAANAGGCTGAGTATAGGGCAATGACACATATGACGATTGAGTTGACTTGGCTAGTACACTTCTTCCAACAAATTGGGTTTCCAGTTCAACTTCCTTTACAGTTGTTCTGTAACAACCAGACAGCTATCCATATTATTGTCAATCTTGTGATTCACGAGAGAATCAAGCGTATTAAGGTTGATTGTCACTTTATTCGGGACAAGATAGTTGCTGGGGAGATTAACACTCTATTTGTGAAATCTGAAGATCAACTTGCAGATATGTTTACCAAAGCATTAAGCCGTACACGTCTTACTGCTATTTGTTCCAAGTTTGGATTATATGATATATATAGTTCAGCTTGAGGGAGAGGGTTAAGAATAGTAAGGTAGCATGCGTAAATTGTTAATAGTAAGAGGGTATATGTGTAATTCTTATTATTGTAGGTTAACTATAAATACAAGTGATATGTGAGAGTTAGGTTAAGTTTTAACCTCTTTCTGTTTCTCTCTAAATATTGTCTCTAATATTATGTTAATCCTACAAACTTAACAGTGTAAAACAGAATTATGTAGCAATATCAATTTGTTGCTAGCTTATCTTTTCTGTCTATTCTTTTTTTATTTTTTATTCCAAACAAGCATGGGGTGATGGCATGTTCTACTTTTGCATAATATGATTGATATTGCAAATATAGTAAGATGGTTGTTTAGTTCAACCCTCAGAAATGAAGCTGCTTAGCTTCAACCCTCCATCTCTACAATGTGTCCCCTTGCCCGTTGTTGCCCCTTGCCCTCTTCAAAGCATTAAGTTTTGACCTTAACTTGGCAGATTGTTAGGCCATGCATTGGAGGAGTGCTTTGTTCTTTGCCGAAAGCTTTATGTGTACTGTAAGATAGGTTTTAAGCTGTGCTGCATTAAAAGCTGTCAGTTGTCTTATAACTCTTGGCTAAAAATTATGACTGTTTCACTCGAGACAGAGTACACTCTCTGTCAGCTTGTCAAATGTGTGATGATGAACAAAAAAAGAAAAAAAAGATTGTATAAATCATGCATGGTTGATTGAGTATACATCGGTACCGGCTCATTCTGGAACTGTCATTGTTATGCAATTTCTTTCACTGTACTTTGTGTTATGTTTCATATAAACTTGATCTGAACATTAGTGTTGTATGAATCAGCTTGATTTGCGACCAAGGTGGCCACTGGGTGAGGAGCTTTCTGAAGGAAGAAGTAAAGCTCGATCACTAAGAAAGGCACATGTTCACCCATCCCTTACATCTCTCATTCAAGCATCTCTGCAACAAAAGGTGTAGCCTTCAATTTTAGAATCTTGAGCATTTCTATGATGAAATATGTCACAAGGTGAAGCATTTCTGTTGGATCCAATGATCACTCGTTGTGGTATGGACTCTCCTTGTCTTCTCACAATAAACCAAGTCTACATTGGGCAATTGAGAAGATACCATTTGGAAAGTGGACAGTGGCACTTGGAGACGGCAATGAGAATGCAGCAAGAGTAAGAAAAGATCTCGTTNTCTTGAGCATTTCTATGATGAAATATGTCACAAGGTGAAGCATTTCTGTTGGATCCAATGATCACTCGTTGTGGTGTGGACTCTCCTTGTCTTCTCACAATAAACCAAGTCTACATTGGGCAATTGAGAAGATACCATCTGGAAAGTGGACAGTGGCACTTGGAGACGGCAATGAGAATGCAGCAAGAGTAAGAAAAGATCTCGTTGCTGTAAAAAAATTTATGCTGTGTCATAGATTGCCCACATATTGTTACTACTGTTGTATTAAAATCACTTCAATTTATTCTGAGATGGTTCCCATCAACAAAGCTTGGGGCTGTTGGTTTTGGCATGGTTGAAGATGAGCCATATTAACACAGGTTTCGAGACTTTCAAATTGATGCAAACAACAAGGCTAGAAATTGCAACCTAGAAACTCTTGCTTTCGAGACTTTCAAATTGCAAGTTGAGAATTTTTATCAAGTTAAATGGCCAGATTGTTTTCTTTAGTAAAAGTTTGACTTACATCAGAAGGCCAAAGTCCATGACCACTGATAGCTTTTGTGGAGAAGTCACCCTTCCTTTGGAAAAAGCTTCACTTACATCAGAAGACCAACAGACCAGGACAACTAATGGTGGAAGCAATCACCCACTGAGGTACCCTGATTTGTAATATTGGCTTCTATTCAAAATTCAGGGTAATTAGACACATTGTGGTAGGTAGGTAGGTAGGTATGTAGGTCTGTGTTGAATATTGTATTGTACCTGTAGAGTGTTGTGATTATTTTAATTGAAATACTTTTCTTCGAATTGGTAGTAAATGTCACTGGCTCTGGCTGCCCGGCTCCCAAATTATTAAATAAATAATTCCACCGATAGCTGGTCTGTCTATCTGGTTGTTGAATTTTGAATTCCACCGGGTCAATACTCTCTTTTGATCTTATTATTCAAACCAAGTATCTGCTCCAAATCTAAGGTGTCCTTAACCATGTACCCGAGCCACCAAACAAACTCTCTCTCTCACACACATTCCACACAACTACCACCACCAACCTCCATTGCTTTTTGAACGGAACACTAATTAATTATAAATTATCACATAAATCTAGTGATCTTAATAATCATATTAGATTAGAGGGATAAAAATAATAATTTTGGGTAAATAATATTGAGTAATATATCATTAATTGTATACAAATATCAAAAAATATAAAAAAATAAGACCCAAAAAAAAATTGTTGGATAGAGTAGCGAACTTTCAATGTTGAACTTCATTGTTACTTTTTTTTTTTTTTATCTTTAACNTCGCTGTAAAAAAATTTATGCTGTGTCATAGATTGCCCACATATTGTTACTACTGTTGTATTAAAATCACTTCAATTTATTCTGAGATGGTTCCCATCAACAAAGCTTGGGGCTGTTGGTTTTGGCATGGTTGAAGATGAGCCATATTAACACAGGTTTCGAGACTTTCAAATTGATGCAAACAACAAGGCTAGAAATTGCAACCTAGAAACTCTTGCTTTCGAGACTTTCAAATTGCAAGTTGAGAATTTTTATCAAGTTAAATGGCCAGATTGTTTTCTTTAGTAAAAGTTTGACTTACATCAGAAGGCCAAAGTCCATGACCACTGATAGCTTTTGTGGAGAAGTCACCCTTCCTTTGGAAAAAGCTTCACTTACATCAGAAGACCAACAGACCATNACTTTCAAATTGATGCAAACAACAAGGCTAGAAATTGCAACCTAGAAACTCTTGCTTTCGAGACTTTCAAATTGCAAGTTGAGAATTTTTATCAAGTTAAATGGCCAGATTGTTTTCTTTAGTAAAAGTTTTACTTACATCAGAAGGCCAAAGTCCATGACCACTGATAGCTTTTGTGGAGAAGTCACCCTTCCTTTGAAAAAGCTTCACTTACATCAGAAGACCAACAGACCAGGACAACTAATGGTGGAAGCAATCACCCACTGAGGTACCCTGATTTGTAATATTGGCTTCTATTCAAAATTCAGGGTAATTAGACACATTGTGGTAGGTAGGTAGGTAGGTAGGTAGGTATGTAGGTCTGTGTTGAATATTGTATTGTACCTGTAGAGTGTTGTGATTATTTTAATTGAAATACTTTTCTTCGAATTGGTAGTAAATGTCACTGGCTCTGGCTGCCCGGCTCCCAAATTATTAAATAAATAATTCCACCGATAGCTGGTCTGTCTATCTGGTTGTTGAATTTTGAATTCCACCGGGTCAATACTCTCTTTTGATCTTATTATTCAAACCAAGTATCTGCTCCAAATCTAAGGTGTCCTTAACCATGTACCCGAGCCACCAAACAAACTCTCTCTCTCACACACATTCCACACAACTACCACCACCTACCTCCATTGCTTTTTGAACGGAACACTAATTAATTATAAATTATCACATAAATCTAGTGATCTTAATAATCATATTAGATTAGAGGGATAAAAATAATAATTTTGGGTAAATAATATTGAGTAATATATCATTAATTGTATAAAAATATAAAAAAATAAGACCCAAAAAAAAATTGTTGGATAGAGTAGCAAATTTTCAATGTTGAACTTCATTGTTATTTTTTTTTTTTATCTTTAATGGTGTAAATTGAGAAATTAAAGATGTTCTAGGTGGAAAGTGTCAATTATTTATTTTTTATTTGAAAGATTACATTAGTTTCATATGAAAAATTAATTGTTTCATATGGAAAATTTAATTATTGATACTCTCTGAAAAAATTATTAATAATGAAAATGACCACCTCGATATCATATATATTATATATATATGATATTGTTGGAGGTTAAAAAAAAAATCATATATAATATAATAGGATAAATAAGGATATCATTTAAAGAATTTATTTTATCATTTATACAAAAATTGAAAGCATTCATTTCATACCCTCACTCAACGGTCTTTGATCTCTCACTCCTTCGCATCCGACGCTCACCATCCTCTTCTTTCTTCCTGTAATCTACAAATCAAAGAAAGAGAGGTCCAAAGGCATCATATCAGTTCACTCCCCTCCCCTCTCTCTCTCTACTTTCTCTCTCCAAACAACCCACGAGCCATGGCTTCTTCTTCATCTCTCACTCTCTCCCAAGCTATACTAGCTCGCTCCATCCCACGCCATGCCTTGTCCTCCTCTTCTTCCCAAGACCGTGTCTCTCTTCCATCATTTTCCGGCCTCAAATCCACCTCATCTTCCTCTTCTCGCAGCACCACCCATCGCCGCCGTGTCGCCGCCACGACCGGTCTGGCAGTTCGGGCCTCAGCCGCCGTAGAGACACTTGAAAAGACCACTGACGTGGCCTTGGTGGAAAAATCGATAAACACAATTCGGTTCTTGGCGATTGATGCGGTCGAGAAGGCGAATTCGGGGCACCCTGGATTGCCCATGGGGTGTGCACCGATGGGTCACATATTGTACGACGAGGTTATGAAGTACAACCCCAAGAATCCTTACTGGTTCAATCGTGACCGCTTTGTATTATCAGCTGGACATGGGTGTATGCTTCAATATGCTCTGCTTCACCTTGCTGGCTACGATAGTGTGCTGGTCAGCTTCTTTGATTTGTCTTTTCTTGATCATATAGATACTTGTGTGTGTGTGTGTGTGTGTGTTTGTATTGTATGTATGTATGTCTATGTGTGTGTATATTTCTTGCCATGTGTTTGTGTGTGGATGGATAGTTGGACAAACACTTGTGAATTGACCTGGATCCGGGTAGCTTTTATTAAGAAGCAACGGTTGCATTTTTGGGCAAAACATGTGGTGTAGAATAAAATCGGAGGATATAGTGGTTGTCTAATGGATGTGTTAGGTGGAAAGCGAAAGGCCCAACAAAAAACTCTGATTGGATACTTTTGTTTGTTTTCCTTTCCGTCATTACAGTGAAATTGCAATGAGTTGTGTGTTCTTTTCTGATTATTTGTGTTACCTTGTGTGTGTGATGATTTGATTTCCTTGTAAGATTTGGTTCAGATTCTTCTCTAAATGAAGACAATGTGTTTTGGATCATCTGTTAGGAAGAAGACTTGAAGAGCTTCCGTCAATGGGGGAGCAGAACTCCAGGTCACCCTGAGAACTTTGAGACCCCTGGTGTTGAGGTCACTACTGGTTAGATTCTAGTCCTCCAAGGCATGTTATTTTGATTTTAGTAGTTAAGTGAACGTCATGTGATTCATTTCATATTTTTTATGATTTTATGCAGGCCCTCTTGGTCAGGGTATTGCCAATGGTGTTGGGCTGGCCCTCGCCGAGAAGCACTTGGCTGCTCGTTTCAACAAACCAGACTGTGAGATTGTAGACCACTACACGTAAAATTACTTATTATATCATCTTGCCTTACACTTTTTCTTGTTTGAAATGCATCTAGTGTAGTGTTATCTTGATTGGCTCATTGGCGTTGACTTTCGAATCTCCAGATATGTTATTCTGGGGGATGGTTGTCAAATGGAGGGGATTTCCAATGAAGTTTGTTCTCTTGCTGGGCATTGGGGTCTTGGAAAACTGATTGCATTCTATGATGACAACCATATCTCCATTGATGGTGACACGGCAATTGCATTCACTGAGAGTGTAGACACTCGTTTTGAGGGTCTAGGATGGCATGTTATCTGGGTGAAGAATGGTAACACGGGCTATGATGAAATTCGGGCTGCCATTGAGGAAGCAAAGGCTGTGAAAGACAAGCCTACTTTGATTAAGGTCAGATACTTGCTGTAGGAACAGATGATGTTAGGTTAATGAAGAATTGCTGTCGTAGTTTGTGCAAGTTTTTACCTTTTGTGATTATGTCAAAGCAAAATCTGTTGGAGTATTTTAAATAAGATGTCATTTGCTTTTTGACACAAGGTAGGAGGGTCATTTATAGTTTAATTGCATAGCTATCTCATTATGAACTTATAGTTTCTATTTGTACCTTACAAAAGGTCATTCAAAACCAGAGTTATGCTTTGACCGAGTTTTTGCATCCTCACAGGTGACTACAACCATCGGTTACGGATCCCCTAACAAGGCAAACTCATACAGCGTACATGGGAGTGCCCTGGGTGGTAAGGAAGTAGATGCCACGAGGAAGAACCTTGGATGGCCTTATGAACCTTTCCATGTTCCTGAGGATGTGAAGAAGTATGGAAATTTTTTTCATGGGTCTAGGATTGATTTGAACTCTGATTAATTACTTGATGAATATTTTTTCTCCTTCACTTCAGGCATTGGAGCCACCTTATCCCAGATGGTGCAGCTCTTGAAGCTGAATGGAATGCAAAGTTTGCTGAATATGAGAAGAAGTATAAGGAGGAAGCTGCAGAGTTGAAATTGATAATCAGTGGTGAATTTCCTGCTGGTTGGGAGAAAGCTCTTCCTGTGAGTAGTTTGTATTTTTTCTTGTCTTTGAAAGTCTGTTCTGAAAAATTGCATCAGCTATCTGAATATAAATGTGGATGTAGTAATATCTTTAGGTTAAATTTTAACCAATTCCTGCCATAAATCAGGACATTTTAAGCAAATTTTTTCATCTCCACAACTTGTACTATTCATTAAACAGTAGGCCGAATTTCCTCCCAAGTCAAATCCACTATAACCTTTGGTTTGTTGTTCAACCTATATTTTCTTTATAATATGATAGAGAAATGACACAGCATGTTATAGAGAAAATATACCATGTCTTTTTAAGGAAATCACTAGAACAAATACATCGTATTTACAAACATTTATTTGCACTTCCTCAGACATATACTCCAGAGAGCCCGGCAGATGCCACCAGAAATCTCTCTCAGCAATGCCTAAATGCCCTTGCAAAGGTTCTCCCCGGCCTTCTTGGTGGTAGTGCTGATCTTGCTTCCTCCAACATGACCCTGCTTAAAATGTTTGGCGATTTCCAAAAGGACACACCAGAAGAACGTAATGTCAGGTTTGGTGTTCGTGAACATGGTATGGGGGCCATCTGTAATGGGATTGGTCTCCACAGCCCTGGCCTCATTCCCTACTGTGCTACTTTCTTTGTGTTCACTGACTACATGAGAGCAGCCATTAGGATTTCTGCCTTGTGTGAAGCTGGAGTTATTTATGTTATGACCCACGATTCAATTGGGCTAGGAGAAGATGGACCGACACATCAGCCTATTGAGCACTTGGCAAGCTTCAGGGCAATGCCTAATATTTTGATGCTCCGTCCAGCTGATGGTAATGAGACAGCTGGTGCATACAAGGTTGCAGTCCTTAACAGGAAGAGACCATCTATCCTTGCTCTCTCTAGGCAAAAGCTGCCCCAACTTCCTGGAACTTCCATTGACGGAGTAGAAAAGGGAGGCTATATTATATCGGACAACTCATCAGGTAATAAACCAGATGTCATCTTGATTGGAACCGGTTCTGAATTGGAAATTGCAGCCAAAGCTGGTGATGAACTCAGAAAGGAAGGCAAGGCTGTTAGAGTTGTCTCCTTTGTTTCTTGGGAGCTTTTTGATGATCAATCAGATGATTACAAGGAAAGTGTCCTGCCAGCTGCTGTAACAGCCAGAGTTAGCATTGAAGCTGGATCAACATTTGGATGGGCCAAGATTGTTGGAACCAAAGGGAAGGCTATTGGAATTGACCGGTTTGGGGCAAGTGCACCAGCAGGAAAAATATACAAGGAGTTTGGCATAACAGCAGAGGCTGTTATAGCAGCAGCTAAACAAGTTTGCTAGGCTTTGTTACCTAGGTTATTGGTTTGCTGCTGGTCTCTGGAAATTATTTATGCTAGCATTCTGGGATTGAAAATTACAGTGAAGAGGCCTGGCTTAGAGAACTTAGAGAACTTGACTCAGTTCATGGCCTCTCAAAATTCCTTAATAAAGAAGATGAAGTTTTCTTTTGTTATCTTCTTCAGTGGAGCTGCTTAGCTTTGCCAAACTGAATCAAGATAAGAGCAGAGGACTAGGGCTTCTGAATGCTAATGAATTGTGCACTAGAACATGCCTTGAGTTTTGGAATTTTATGTGGTTGAAACACATTCAGGCTTCATTTTCTCCATTACAATTTTATGTGATAATGAGATTTCATGCTATTGTTGCAATCTGCGCCTTTTGAATTTATGTACAAGCAAATTGATGAGCTAAAAGATTCATCCTATAGTCCGAGTTGGGTTTTGGGTGATTGGTAGTGTCATGACCATTAGATCTTTAAAGAAGAATAAAGTTTTATCATTGATGATTTGATTAAACGTTCAAGTTTTTATTTATTTGAGTAAAATTTTGGGTCTCTCTTATAATTTGGTTTGANAGTGTCATGACCATTAGATCTTTAAAGAAGAATAAAGTTTTATCATTGATGATTTGAATAAATGTTCAAGTTTTTATTTATTTGAGTAAAATTTTGGGTCTCTCTTATAATTTGGTTTGGGTCAGATATAGGATTGAAGAAGAATTTTGAGTTATTTTTATTCAAATTTAAATTTAAATCTTAAAAAAAGGAAGAATTAAAGATGTTGTAAGTGTTGGGATTTAACACGATTTAAATTCACTAACAAGCACACACAATCGAAGAACAAATCAAGAATATAAAACAATAAGAAACAAGAAAGAACAAGACACAGATTTTACGTGGTTCGGTAATTTGCCTATGTCCACGAAGCTGCAGGGATTTTACTATTGAGAGAGNTTTAAATTTAAATCTTAAAAAAAGGAAGAATTAAAGATGTTGTAAGTGTTGGGATTTAACACGATTTAAATCCACTAACAAGCACACATAATCGAAGAACAAATCAAGAATATAAAGCAATAATAAACAAGAAAGAACGAGAANTTGATTAAGGTCAGATACTTGCTGTAGGAACAGATGATGTTAGGTTAATGAAGAATTGCTTTCGTAGTTTGTGCAAGTTTTTACCTTTTGTGATTATCTCAAAGCAAAATCTGTTGGAGTATTTTAAATAAGATGTCATTGGCTTTTTGACACAAGGTAGGAGGGTCTTTTATAGTTTAATTGCATAGCTATCTCATTATGAACTTCNGGGCCCAAAAATTTTTCCTCGGGGGCGTTGCCCCCGAACCCCCACGAGGCTTGTCCACGAGCGTTACGGATTGGACCTATCGGCCCAAGCCTTCGCTCCATGGACTAAGCCTCAGAAAATTTCTCATTAAAAATCACACAAACATTATTTCGGGTCGGATCATCATCCAGATCACATATACAAACTAGACTTCATAAAAAAACCAACNGATTTCACTATTGAGAGAGTTGAATACAGAGAGCGGCTGTACAATCAATAATAAACCCTAATCACCAAAACAATAGAGTTTATATGTCCTACGCACTGGGCTATATAACGGGCCCAAAAATTTTTCCTCGGGGGCGTTGCCCCCGAACCCCCACCAGGCTTATCCATAAGCGCTACGGCTTGGGTCTATCGGCCCAAGCCTTCACTCCCATGAACTAAACCTCAGAAAAATTTTCATTAAAAATCACACAAACATTACTTCGGATCGAGTCATCATCCAGATCACATATACAAACTAGACTCCATAAAAAAACCAATAGTAAGGAGAATATTTTAATCACTTGCTAGTTGCCCAGCTAATGGATGGGTGGCTGAGAAAGTGTTCATTGACTGTAAGTGGATTGGGTTGTGGATTCAAGCCATTCAAAAAAGGCAAGGTATCTAATCTCTTCATGCATATATTTGGTGCAAGGAAAAGGAAATGTATGACATAATATGTGGTTTGGGCCCCACCAAAGAAGTATAGAATAGAGATATGGAGCATTGATTGAAGAAAATTTTGTACGGATTTAACAGTGTCATACACACTCGATGAAAAGTTATCACAAAAAAATAACTTGTGAGACACANTAATCTCTTCATGCATATATTTGGTGCAAGGAAAAGGAAATGTATGACATAATATGTGGTTTGGGCCCCACCAAAGAAGTATAGAATAGAGATATGGAGCATTGATTGAAGAAAATTTTGTATGGATTTAACAGTGTCATATAGTGTACACACTCGATGAAAAGTTATCACAAAAAAATAACTTGTGAGACACCTGGGTTATTTTTTTCAAAAAAATTGTAATAAGATGATAGGTGTTAATCATTGCTTAAGCATATATAATTTTTTAATGTTGATTTACGTTACGTTGTAAGACACTGTCATGTAATGTATTAAACTTACCCAAAGATTTCTCGATCGGTTGTTTGTGGTTGTTGAAACTCTTGCTCCTTGTGGTTGTTGAAGTTCTGCCTCTCAACCTACCTAATCCACATTGTCTTCTACTCCAATACATGATGGTTCAAGGAATGGGGTCATAAAGTTTTGTTGTGAAGCTTTTTTTTTTTACCCTTGGTCTGGTGAGATATGCTCTTGGGCATTGAAGAGGGACCCATGCTTTGAAAGAAGAATGCCAGAGAAATCTGCATATNTACCTAATCCACATTGTCTTCTACTCCAATACATGATGGTTCAAGGAATGGGGTCATAAAGTTTTGTTGTGAAGCTTTTTTTTTTGACCCTTGGTCTGGTGAGATATGCTCTTGGGCATGGCATTGAAGAGAGACCCATGCTTTGAAAGAATAATGCCAGAGAAATCTGCATATTCTCTCTCTCTCCAACATACCATAAATTACATCATTGTCATACTATTGACCGTTATGAAGAGATTGGGATTTCCTTGCTTTTTACAATAATTAAATTTTCAAAGTTTGGGGATAAGACGATCTAACAAATTTCCTTTTCCTAATAAGNGCTCTTGGGCATTGAAGAGGGACCCATGCTTTGAAAGAAGAATGCCAGAGAAATCTGCATATTCTCTCTCTCTCCAACATACCATAAATTACATCATTGTCATACTATTGACCGTTATGAAGAGATTGGGATTTCCTTGCTTTTTACAATAATTAAATTTTTAAAGTTTGGGGATAAGACGATCTAACAAATTTCCTTTTCCTAATAAAGACGAGTCTTATCTACTGAGTACAGTAGATAAACGAGAATAAAAAAAATTAACCCATCTAGCAACGGGTATTACTACACATTGTGAGTCTACTAGAACGACAAAATAAATGCGTTGGGCACTAGCAAGTCATGGTTTCGAATCCCCTTCCATCTCCCTTGTAGTATATGATTCTGTTGTATATCAAAAAAAAAAAAAAAAAGGGTTGAGTGAGCATCTGTGAGGTTCATGGCAGTTACATAAGGGCAATCAGACCCTTAACTAAACAGATATTTTTTGTAGCCATTGCTATGAGCACAAAAGCCCCGTTGGGTAGCCAATGGAAAGACGATAGGCTTTGCCTTATAGACCTGGGCCCATATTTCGAAAAAGAATGCTAGAAGGTTCAAGCCCAGGAAAAGTTGTTAACTAGGTACAAAATCAAGTAGGGTTTTTTTGGGTATGGGTGTAATTTTTTAGATTTATTTGAGCAAAAATATATGGATAAATTGTTTACTTTATTAAGTATAATTTTTATAAAAAAATTTGTGTTTAGGTACAAAATTCAAATGAATTAAATTTTTTTTTACCTAAACACTCTTCCTTAAATTATGCAGCCATCATTGACAGTTATTTGATAAAACAAATATATAAAGATTAACAATAGTAATAGAAGGTAAAATAGGAGCATTAATAATCAAAACCCTTCTTCTTCGGCAATAAGATTTTATGGCAATAAAATTTGATTAGAATGCCACAAATTATATGTGAACAAACACTAAATTTCCCCCCTCCCCCTGAAAAAAAAGAGAATTGACTAATATGTTTTGTTAGATATTATGTATTGTTCGTTGTTGGGATGAGGAGAAAAAAAAACTTCTTTGTTTTTTTTAATAGGTGTAACTGTTTTTTAATTAGTGTAATTATTTTTTTAATGGATGTAACTATTTTTTAATGGGTGTAACTATTTTTTTAATGAGTGTAACTGTTTTTTAATGCGTGTAACTATTTTTTTAATTAATGTAACTATTTTTTTAATTGGTGTAACTGTTTTTTAATAGGTGTAAATAATTCTTTTAATTGGTGTAACAATCACAGTCTCAAGAAATTGTTAAGTTGGAATAATGATGCTGGGATATTAAATGGTGCAATTATTTAGTTTATGTAAACAACTGAATAAAAAATTGAGTTGATTTCATAATTTTGTGTAATTACTTTGTACAACTATTTGGTTTATTAGAACGCATAAGTAACTATTTGGTGTATTATAGAATAATTGTAATTAATTGATGTAACTGATTAGTATAACTGTATTGTTGTAATATTAATATAAATAAAGTAAGGGAAAACAGGGAGAGAGAAAGAAAGAAATTATTAGAGAAAATATGTCCCTATTTTACCTCTCATTGCTTAATTGTAGTCAAAATATATGAAAAAAATATAAAGGATTTCAACCCATCAACTATTTATTGAATAACAATATTATCATTTTTTAAAAATATGCACTTTAACTCAAATAAAATTTTTTATTATATTTTTATTTAAATAAATCTAAAAAATTATATCGATTTCCAAATCCCCGATCAAGGATTACAAATTGGGCCTACTACTTCGCAAGGACAATCCATGGGAAGAATGTACATGCTGCGGCCAGCCACCAACCTCTACTGGAAGTAGGTAGGTAGTATGGTCTAAGTTGAGCTAACAATTCACCTACTTCATGGGTCCCAGCTTCCCTCTCCCTTCTCTCACATATTTTTTTTTTTTTTCTTTTCTTTTTTTATGATTATGATTGAAAAAAAATTAGGAAGTAATTATTACACAAAAAAAAGAGAAAAATATTGAAAAGTACATAATTAAATTAAATTCAAATAACACTTATTATTCACTTAATTATATGTTTGGTTTGAAGGAGAGAGAATGAAAATGAAAAATCCAAAGAGAAAATAACTAACACATGTCACAACCTTTAAAGATGGTTTAGTGATTAAAATTGTCATATTGCAAGTAAGAAGTTTTAAGTTTGATATTTTTTACACTTGTTAAAATCATCGCTAATTGAAACCCAAAATCTTACCCAATTTTGAGTAAAAAAAAAGTAAAAAATTTAATTTAATATAAATCTCTCCAATAAAAAAATTAATATTTAAAGGAAGATAAATTTAAATTTAAAAGATGATAAAAAATGACCATTAGATATCTAAAGTACGACGAAATCTTATCATTAAAGGTTTTGATATAAATTTTAATCTCTCTTGATTTGGGTTTAATTTTTTTTTTTTTTTGTATTTAGCATGAGTATGAATTTAATTTTACAGAAACATGTTAGATTATTTTTATTTAAATTTAAATTTGGCATATAAAAAAAGGTAAGAGTAGAAGATGCTCTAAGAGTAAGACAATCTTGTTCCTCCGGGGACATTTTTTTTAAATTAATTCAAGTCACAGTAGTTAATTCCGAGCTCGAACCCATGTGACAATTGGATTTTTTTTTTTTTTTTTAGAGTGTGATTATCTGCAATACATTTTTTTATTATTTTTTGATTGACATATTATTTATTATACATTATACAAGACTTATTATATATAAATGAATTCTTCGTTTATTAATTATGAATAATGTGCCAAAAAAAACAATTAAAGAAAAAATGTATCGGAAAAATACGGTGTTGTTTCTTTGTGGTGGGTGTGGGTTACTCACAAAGTGGGTTGGTGAGGGAGGTTGACAGTCGGCCCTGTCACATATGCTTAACTTGCNATTAAAGAAAAAATGTATCGGAAAAATACGGGGTTGTTTCTTTGGGGTGGGTGTGGGTTACTCACAAAGTGGGTTGGTGAGGGAGGTTGACAGTCGGCCCTATCACATATGCTTAACTTGGGCACCCCCCGCCAACCCAGAGGAGTTCAGCTTCAACCTACGCTAGTGGTGAAGACCTTCTCCATTGCCAGCTTCCCCCTTCACCAAACACTCAAATTGGAGAGAGAGCAGAAAAAAGGGAGTTTTTTTTAGAGAGAGAAACAGGCATGGCGCAAGTTAGCAACATGNATTGCCAGCTTCCCCCTTCACCAAACACTCAAATTGGAGAGAGAGCAGAAAAAAGGGGGTTTTTTTTAGAGAGAGAAACAGGCATGGCGCAAGTTAGCAACATTGCCAAAGGCATCCAAACCACCAATTTCGGTCCCAACCTCTCAAAACCCCAAAATCACAAGCTCCCCCAATCTGTGTGGTTTGGATCGAAACTGAGAGATTCTGAAAATATTTTGTGTTTGAACCATGTAAAGATTGCTTCTTTTAATAAATCAGATAACACTGTTAGACTTCCACTTAGAATTTCGGCATCCGTTGCCACCGCCGAGAACCCGTCAACTGCTCCGGAGATCGTGTTACAACCCANGATTGCTTCTTTTAATAAATCAGATAACACTGTTAGACTTCCACTTAGAATTTCGGCTTCCGTTGCCACCGCCGAGAACCCGTCAACTGCTCCGGAGATCGTGTTACAACCCATTACAGAGATCTCCGGTACCGTTAAGTTGCCGGGTTCCAAGTCGCTTTCCAATAGGATTCTCCTCCTAGCTGCCCTCTCTGAGGTAGATTGTGTGTGTGTGAATTCCAGATTGTGAGTATTGGTCTGGGGTTGAATTGAACTTATAATTAATTTCATTAGTTTATGTTCTTTTTATTAGAAAACCTCACAATGCTATGCATGATGTTGTAGTTTATATACAGATTTTGATGTGAAATTTGAGAATGCTTTATTTGACATTTGTATATTTGGGATAAGTTTGATTTGGTTTTTGAGAATTATTCATAGAAAGAACTGTAACTTCTTTTTTCCCCTTCGATTTACGATGTTGTTTGTAGCTTAGGCCTCATGAAAGGGGATAGGAGCCGCTAAGCGGGTTGGCTTGTTTCTTAGACCCGGAAAGGAGTAGCCTTTTTCCCATCACATACATGACTAGGTTTGAACCACATACCTTCCGGTTGAGAGGTGACTGGTGAGCCCCCAGTCATCCGGACTAATTGCATGATGGTTAGATATAACTGCAACTTCTAAGACCCAAAAGAAGTCAGAAATCTCTGATGCTATGATGAAGTGCTCTAATTGAATGTAAGCAGTGTTTATCTTACATTAGGGTGCTCTGGGTATTTTGCGGACACTGGCTCTATTATTCTTTCTAAAATAGCAGTTGAAGCTGTCTTAATAGTTTAGACTAGGAATGTTGATGAAAATAGGAATCATGTTTGCGGCTTATATTCTAGGAGTGACATATATAAAGAGTCTCACAACTAGATTTCAATTTGATGATGAAAATGATTTTATGCACAATATTATAAACAGAACATGAGCACTTATTGTTGTGTTAGACAACCAGTGTCATTAAGATTATTGGGTTAGATGGTTAACATAGACATCATGTGTTGAAAACTTAAAATCAAAGAGGACATTGGATATTATTCGGAATAAAGTCATTGTTTAATAGGCTTTGCTACCTGTCTTTGGAAACTAAATTAACACAAGGTCTGATGATCCTGAGTTCCATTAATTAGAAACTTATATTATCGACCGAAATATAGTCCACTTTAGATTTTTTTGGCTAAATTTTAATATTCTTCTGATTCTTCATTTTTTATGAGTTTCAATATGTGGTATTTTCTTTTGCTGTAGAAGTAGATCGGAGATCTCATTATGGTTTTGAGCATCATAGAGAGTGATTTAAATTGTTCCTAGGAATAAAGAGAATATAAAGAATGCCTCTAATGCTCATGTCTTTTCCTCTCTTTTTTTCCTCTGTCCTTTTGATTTTCTAATCCTTAATTGACTTCCAGTTTGAAATGACAAGTTTTAAAAATAATGTATAAAATCGTTTGTTTCCTGAAAATGCTTATAATTGCATTTTGAGGAGAAAATAGGTCTTAAAATAGTCAAATTGTGCCCTTGTACCTAGCCTTGCTCATGGAGAAATGTAGGCAGCTAAAAATGAACAGATTAGTGTACTTGCCACACGTGGCAGAAACCAGCCTGGGAATTTCGCCAAGATTACTGAATGTCAACAAGGACGCAAGGAGCAAGGCCTAGCCAATTCAATCTGGGTAAAGAACATTCTGTACATGCTTCGGCTAAACTGCGTAACTTGTCTGAAAATGGAAAATGGAAAATCTTGCTTTAATAAAGCAGCCTAGATAATGGTAATGAGGGAGACTAGGGTAGACGTTTGCCCTTCTAATGAATCCACGTTTTGCTAGAGATATTTGTACATGATGCGACTTATTTTTATTTTTATTTTTGTAGTTTCATGTCTTATTTTTCTACTGACTTGTAAAAAAGTTCGTAATCTGCTGTTCATATCAAAGGATCTGAGCATAGAATACATGTCACTTGCTCTTATTTTTCAGGGAACCACTGTTGTAGACAACTTATTGCACAGTGATGATATCCACTACATGCTTGGAGCCTTGAGGACACTTGGGCTACGTGTGGAAGAAGATAGTGCAATCAAACGAGCAACTGTGGAAGGTTGTGGTGGTCTGTTCCCCTTGGGTAAAGAATCAAGGGATGAAATCCAACTTTTCCTGGGCAATGCAGGAACAGCAATGCGTCCATTGACTGCTGCAGTTGTTGCTGCTGGTGGAAATTCAAGGTCGGTCTATGATGACAGTGCTTGTGCTGCTTTTAATTAGTTTCTTAATCTTTACATAACCTGATCCTTGAAGTTCTGTTCTATTCTTCTCGTCGGCAAAATCAGGCTCAAGGCTATTTCGATGCTGAACTGAATTCTTCTTGTATGTTAAAGATAACAACATTTATCATCTACATATATAACAATAAGTAAGTTAGATATTTTCCCACTGTATCCTTTCCGGTTTCCATCAGGGGCATCTGGGACTACCAATAAATGCATACCACTAGGGTACATCCCCTATTATCCAAATTGGACTATCTTGATCAGTCATTCCATCTTCTTTTACTTTTCTGAAAGTATTTGTCAATCCAATGTTCCTCTTAAGGTTGGCCGTACTGCTGAAATAGTAATGCATCCTGCGGTGTATCTCTAGTATAACTTCCACTCACTACTTTTAGAGGCTCTTTGGTGATTATTACTTGATTTATTCACTAATGCTGATTTTTGAAATACCACTAACTCTTGTTATTTTCAGCTACATACTTGATGGGGTTCCCCGAATGAGAGAGAGGCCAATTGGTGACTTGGTCACAGGTCTTAAGCAGCTTGGTGCAGATGTTGATTGTTTCCTTGGCACAAACTGTCCCCCTGTACGAGTAGTTGGGAAGGGAGGCCTCCCAGGGGGAAAGGTGAGGTTTGCATTCAGTGTAACATTACCTTGTTCATGATAAGATGATTCAGTTACTATCCAGTTGAGGCTCCAGTTGCTTGTTATTTCCAAAATAAACTTTTATCATTCTTAGTCATCCTTTATTGTTTTTCTTTTCACAGGTGAAGCTCGCTGGGTCTGTCAGTAGTCAATACCTGACTGCTTTGCTGATGGCAGCTCCTTTGGCTCTAGGAGATGTGGAGATTGAGATTATTGATAAACTGATATCTGTACCTTATGTTGAGATGACTTTGAAATTGATGGAACGCTTTGGGGTTACTGTAGAGCATAGTGATAGCTGGGATAGGTTCTTGATCCGAGGAGGTCAAAAGTACAAGTAAGCCTCTTTTATGTGAAATTACAGGGATATTATAATTTGATTAGCTTGCTTTCACTGGAGTTTAATGGGATGGGAAATTCATCAGGTCTCCTGGAAATGCTTATGTCGAAGGTGATGCCTCAAGTGCTAGTTACTTTTTAGCTGGTGCAGCTGTTACAGGTGGAACCATAACAGTTGAAGGTTGTGGGACAAGCAGTTTACAGGTACTTGTCACATCAATATACCATCTTCAAATCATTCACATTTTTTGTGATAGAAATATCTTATGTTGTATGCATTGCAATTTTCATGTAGAACAAAACCAAATCAAGTCAATCTCTTTGCTTAGGATGACTGACTAGGCATACTGTTTTCATGGTCGCACGAATTGGATCATCTTACCTTCTTGACCTTATTTTTCTCTTAACTCAGGGAGACGTCAAATTTGCTGAGGTTCTTGAGAAAATGGGTGCTACAGTTACCTGGACAGAGAACAGCGTCACGGTCACAGGCCCATCCCGGAATTCTTCTGAAAGGAAACACTTGCGTGCCATCGATGTCAACATGAACAAAATGCCAGATGTTGCCATGACACTAGCTGTAGTTGCACTTTTTGCTGATGGTCCCACTGCCATAAGAGATGGTATGGTTTGGCCTTTTGATCACCAAAAATGAGATTGATAATATGCCTTTCCAGTTCACTAAATATCAGTCTTTTCCACTTAGCTGTTCTCCAGCTGTACAGGCCACTTAAACAATGCAATAGTCTGCAGTATGGTAGCTCTTAAAAGTAGAAGAATACAGTNTACAGGCCACTTAAACAATGCAATAGTCTGCAGTATGGTAGCTCTTAAAAGTAGAAGAAGGGCATCCTATAAAGGAAATTATAACTTGTGCGGTCATATAACCTTTTGAGAAAGCAACTGAATTTTTCTGCTTCCTCAGATTATTTGTTCTATTGTATACTGAGTATTATTTTGAGGGTATTATTATTGATTTTTGGTAGAGGAATGACAAATGTGGGATCTCGATTTGTGAATTTGATGTTGTCAGTTTGTACTGGCATAAAGGAAGGAAAGATAAAAGTGAGTTAAGCCCCACTCCTGGAAAGCCAAAATGCTCCTTTGGTTAAGTTTTGGTTGAATATCTGAATGAAGAAGGTGAAAGCTTATTGAGAGGCCTGGAATTCTTATTATCTGTTTGCATTAGAGAGATCCCATCTGCAATTAAATCGTGACTACCATTTGTTGGGTCTTAACTACCTTCATGTTAGTTATGAGCTAAGATGTGATACTTTAAATATAGTTTTGACCAACGTAAAATCATAAAGCATGAGTGAGTTTATAATCTTCAAAGAAGGTTGTTTCCAAAATTAGGCTGAACAAAACTATCATCAAATAATTGTAAGAGGATGGTTTTGCATTTTTTTTTTCCTTTTGTTTCTTTCTTATTTCTACTTTCTTNTGTGATACTTTAAATATAGTTTTGACCAACGTAAAATCATAAAGCATGAGTGAGTTTATAATCTTCAAAGAAGGTTGTTTCCAAAATTAGGCTGAACAAAACTATCATCAAATAATTGTAAGAGGATGGTTTTGCATTTTTTTTTTTCCTTTTGTTTGTTTCTTATTTCTACTTTCTCTATTTCTGTGTTTAAAATAAATTTGATCTCTTCTTCTATCTGTTTTCAGTGGCTAGCTGGAGAGTGAAGGAAACTGAACGGATGATTGCCATTTGCACAGAACTCCGAAAGGTTAGGTTCTTGTGACCTTATACATATTTGAAACTTTGTTGACAATTTTTCTTAACATTGCTATTTGGCTCCAATTTTTCAGTTGGGAGCAACAGTTGAAGAAGGTCCAGATTACTGTGTGATTACCCCTCCAGAGAAATTAAATGTGACTGCAATAGACACATATGATGATCACAGAATGGCTATGGCCTTTTCTCTTGCTGCCTGTGCAGATGTTCCAGTCACAATCAATGATCCTGGTTGCACTCGGAAAACCTTCCCCGACTACTTTGAAGTCCTGCAAAGGTTTGCAAAGCATTGAACACCTCAACACTCAGACAAATAATGGGAAAAAAAATCAAAATAGAAGTAAGNTACCCCTCCAGAGAAATTAAATGTGACTGCAATAGACACATATGATGATCACAGAATGGCTATGGCCTTTTCTCTTGCTGCCTGTGCAGATGTTCCAGTCACAATCAATGATCCTGGTTGCACTCGGAAAACCTTCACCGACTACTTTGAAGTCCTGCAAAGGTTTGCAAAGCATTGAACACCTCAACACTCGACAAATAATGGGAAAAAAAATCAAAATAGAAGTAAGTGTGAGAGGCAACAGACTGCAGCAGCAAAACCATGGGCCCCTGGCACAGAGGAGGGTTAGGATTGATGCAACCTAGACCATCCCTTTCATTTTGCCTCGTAATGTTAGAAAAGTTTGTTGGCCAGTAGAGCTCATTATTGCCTACAAGACTCTAATTTTATGTAAACTAGAATGTTTATTGGTTTGTTCTCTAGTCTCTTTAGACTGAGTGTGATGAAGCATTTGAAACCTATTGAGTTTTCATTCTTTGACTGTTTATCCAATGAAAGCTTCAATAAGATATGTCTATGGTGTCTTTTGGGTCAAGATATCAACAAAGTTGATAGTTTGTTGAATATTATTAGAAAACAGTGTGCCTCAGTAATCATATCTAATTTGCTCATTGGAATAGATTCTCCAAAGCAGAGCCCTGTTTTTGAATGGGCAAATAAACACTATACTGTTGTGAACCCTGATTCTTTCTCTGCAATCATCGGCTTTGATCATGCCACTAGGCATTTGATTAGGTCATTGCAGCATGATCTAAACACTTTATCGCATATTTTCGATACGAATTCAGTAATGATCATAGGGATCCCCTCTAGTATCAGTTGGTAAAACAGGATCCAACTGGTCATGAACATTATTATNTGAGTTTTCATTCTTTGACTGTTTATCCAATGAAAGCTTCAATAAGATATGTCTATGGTGTCTTTTGGGTCAAGATATCAACAAAGTTGATAGTTTGTTGAATATTATTAGAAAACAGTGTGCCTCAGTAATCATATCTAATTTGCTCATTGGAATAGATTCTCCAAAGCAGAGCCCTGTTTTTGAATGGGCAAATAAACACTATGCTGTTGTGAACCCTGATTCTTTCTCTGCAATCATCGGCTTTGATCATGCCACTAGGCATTTGATTAGGTCATTGCAGAATGATCTAAACACTTCATTGCATATTTTCGATACGAATTCAGTAACGATCATAGCGATCCCCTCTAGTATCAGTTGGTAAAACAGGATCCAACTGGTCATGAACATTATTAGAAGGGCATCAACATCATGCCCTAGATCTCATAAGATTATTATTTACTGATATTTTTTCCCTTTGAACTGGTATTATTTATTCAATATCCAGCTACCAGGAAGGCATGGAACATGGTACCAAGTTATAAAGAATGACCTGCTGGGACATGGTTGCCTTACTTTGTGTATCAGAAAGTCACATGGTTCGGTTGAAACAAACAAATTTAAAAAAATTTGAATAGCTGATATGAGGCCAGTGCTGACCAAGATTTATTAGAGAATAAATCCCTTTCTGGAATATCAATCATGAAAAAGTATTGTATCAAAAAAACTAACTTTAACGACTGTACCAGTCACTTTCCCTCTTATTAGAAGACTATCTCATCCCGCGATTGACATTCCATTCCCTTTAGTCATTGGTGCTCGTTCTATTTTGATTTGAATGGGCCGGTTCTCCTCAAAAATCAACGCAAACTGGTCAATGGTGGTCATTTTGATCTTAGGGTAGAAATAAATTAACATAAGCCTCTTAATTAAGATGTGCAACATTAGATGAGGTCTATTAGGATGAGTAGGTGTGAAGGGTATGATGGTGCACTCACCAATGTGGACTTTCCTTGACCACCTCTGGCACCATTGGATAGCACTTAAGACTTAA